GAAAGAGGCGTGCCAGGGAATCAAGGGGCACGGGGAAGAGAAGGTCGAAGAGAAATATTACAGTGGGAACAAGCTACAACTAAAACACAACTTGCATCACCTTGGACAAGCTACAACCAGAGCGCCACACACCATTGGATACAGCCATAGAAGAGAGAAACTGGGACACCGACGACTATCTTTAACAAAAACATGACAAAAACACACCTAAAACACGAAAATAACATACTTATAGATCTAGGGTAACTAGAGGATAAGGTCCCTTCAGTTTGGCGACAAATCCACCATAAGAAAGGATCGACCTTAGGTTCAGATTCACGAGATTGAATCGTTCAAGCAGGGACTAGCTAAATCAACCCGGGCAGCTCAAAGTTGTCATGTCCCACATAGACACAACAGACACCCTGCCCCACCTCAGTCTCCCGGGGTTGGGGGAGCTTTGACCTCATGCATTGAAGCTTATGTTTCCTTGTAGTACGGAAATGGATGAAGCAAATTGAGGCTAACAGAGTTGTAATCTCCCAGGGCTGAATAAACTTTAACAACCGCCCTAAAAGCACTATGATTCCACAGACAAATACATTGTTCCCCAAAACACCTAATGAAATCCCCCCACTTGCGAGTAGCCATCCATATCGATCCAACCATCTGGAAGTACGTGACTGAATTGAACCGGTTCTTCGTATCAAGTATACTTCTAAAAGTAGCCCAAGCTTTATTCATCCCACTTTGACATGAGAACAGATCGAACTCCCCTAATGGCGGTAGTTCTGGTGGTAAGCTATCAATCATGATGCCCTGAAACGCTCTCTATAGTCACTAACCTATGTCTGAAATTGGTTGCTCTATCTCACTATCCCACATCATCACCAAAATCCAGCTGGTGCTTTTCTGCTAGCAAGAGCATCTGTAACCTCGGAATTTGTAGAAAGTAAGAGAAGTAATTGTCTTTCATCCTTAGTGAATGAGTAGGCATTCTTGAATCCATCATGCTGAGTTCAGCAATCAAACTACCACGTTCTCCGCAACAAAATAAGATAGCATTCATGGGCACCACGCCACACCACACTTGGTCCTATAGATGATTTTCAATGAAAGACTCCACAATGTATCTCCGGTCAATGCTGACTTTGTTCTTATTCTTCAAACACTTCAAAGAGTGAGTCTGGAAATGCCTCTAAGTCGTGTAGCTTAACTTGTACACCATCTATGTAGATTCCACATTCTTATTGCTAACCTCAACAATGATAATGTTGCATACATTTCTCTTCACAGTGCAATGGGTGCAGAATATATTATGGCGAAACCACTACTGCTACCACATAGCCTCAATCTGAAATATCAGTTGAACCACAAGCATCTCGCCCTCATCCGGAGGAATCTAGTGCTTCTCACTCTATTCTTCAGTTGCCCTTTCGTCACTAACTTACTCCACAATATCCTGCTTGGTGAAGGACACAACTCGGCTTATCGGGCGGCTGGAAATGATATGTCCAAAACCAAGGCATCTGAAGCATTTTTTGGCTGGGACTATAGTGGGCGCGCTACTTTTATCAGACTTCTTCACACTCCCTGAGAATTGGTCCTCCTAAAGTCTCTAGTTGTGGGTGGTTGTCTGACTGACGGTGATTGACCGCTACGCATTTGTTGTCTCCATTTTCAATGCTAAGGTCTGCACATCCCTCCGTGTCCAATCAGGTTGCAGCAGGACCACATTATTGATGGTGGGCTTCAAACCTCCCAAGTACTTGGCTATTGTGTGCTCTTTTGACTCTTTCAGCTCATGCTTCAACTTAAGTTGCATGAATTTTGTTGTGTACTACTCTACTGATAGCTCCTTCTTCTACAGGTTGTTAAGCTTCAAGAATATAACTTGACGATAGTGTGAGGGAAGGTAACTACATCGCATTCTTCATTTTCTCACAAGAAGTGATTATGTCTCGTCCTTCTCTTTGTCTCTCCCTCTTTCGATTCTTCCAACCCGTCCTATTTGTCTCGCCACTTGATTCTTCCACCAAAAAGAAGTATTCTTCTTCAGTTAGATGGCCGCAACATTCACTATTCTATCATCGATCACCTTATATTCAAAAATTCGCTTAACAATCTGCATCCACTCAAGGAATTCATCTAGATTCGTTCTCCCCTTGAAGTCTGGTCAGTTCACCTTCAGTCCCAAATCTTATGATTCTCCAATAGGCATGTCATCACTATATGTTCTAACAAACAATTCATCTGTGTATCGTCCAACAGGCGTCTCATCCCTGTATCCTCCAACATGCATCTCATCCATGTATCCTCTAATAGGCATTTCATCTATGTATCCTTCATGAGGCACCATACCTCTGTCTCTTTCAATAGGCACTTCCGCTCTAGGCCTCTGCTGATATTGTACCCTAAAGCGTTGTGGCTTGTCTTCTTCTCCATCGAAATCATCATCACGAAAGGGATTCAAGCAATCTTCTTGCACTCCTTTAAGAATTTTACTATTACAGTCAACGGTGATCCCACCCTCAGTGTTTTTTCCTCAATGGCATCGAGCCAATGTAGCACTTGGTAGAGTATTTGTTATATGTCGTCCATGGTAGATTCCTGACCAGATTCATTGGGTGTGTTGGTTAGGGTTTTGGGTGTAAATAGTCGAAGAAGGTTTGTAGGGTGAAGGAAAAGAAAACTTTGAGGGTTGATATGAGGCGATGCTAATCCCTAAGATAGGAGTAGGGTTAGGCTAGCACTAATACCAAAGGATATCAGAGTTAACCTGAACGACAATAGGCTAAGCAAATATTATTACGAGAAAAGCCAACTGGCTGTTACAATCAACACGTTGAAAGGAAAATACAGCAACATACACAAACAAACACAACTAAAGTGTATCCCAAGGGGGCTATAGGTCGGCTAGGTGGGCTGGAACGAGCAAGTTGGGGTGTTGAGGGTGGCAAATTCAGCATGTAAGGTTTCTGAAAGATGGATGAGTTGAGATAGAGCTTGTGGGTGCGTGGCTGGAACTACATCATAACGGCAAAAGGAAGGCGGTGCGGCTACGGCGGAGAAGGTGGAGGGCTGGGACAGTGATGGAAGTGAAGCAAAAGGCCGGAACAATGGCAGGGAAGGGGCAAACTGGAGTAAAACAGCAAGGACAGCTGGTCTAGGGGCTGATTCAGAAGAACGGCGAAGCGGGAGGCTGAGACAAAGATTGGAAGGCTAGGGGCTGCCAAAAGCAACAAGAATGAGGGCTAGCAGCTGATTTGGAAGGACAGTAGGGATCATGGAAGAGACTTGGCTGGAAAAAGCAAAACTGCATTAAAGAACAGCTACGATGGCTATTTAGGGAGGCTACATCTAGGCTAGAGGTGTGGCAGCGAATCGAGGGGTTCGGGGGGAAGATTGAGGATAATTACTCCCTTGGGAACAAATAATAGCCGGCGCATCACTCAACCCTTAGAAGAAGGTCACCAACTTAGACGAGCTAAAGTCGGAGCACAAACTTTTGGATACGGCCCTAGAAAGCAGAAAATAGGATGTCGATGGTTGTCCTAAACAAAAACATGAAAAACAATTGACCTAAAATACAAAAATAACATAATTATAGACCTATAGCAACTAAAGGATAGGGTCCCATTAGGTAGGCGGCAAATCCACGAGAAGGATTCATCAGAGATTCAAAATCACAGGATTGTACCGATTCAAGTAGAGGCTAGTTAAACCGGCCAAGGCAGCTCAAAGTTGTCGCGTCCAACTTAGGCGCAGAAGATGCCCCACCCCGCGTCGCTTATTTTCATTTTATTTTGTTTAAATGTAATAAGTATAGGATAATCTAATTCACTATTTAGGGTATGCTTTTCCTTCAGAAAATTGGATTGCTTAAATGGACTTTTAGGCTAATTGCAGAATTAAAATTTGACTGCTTTTAGGACATTCATAGCTTTTATCTAATGATCGAAGTTGTCGATTTTCTCCAAATTTCATTTGCAATTTTGTTCCTACTTTCCATTCCAAGTTATGCACATGGAGTCATAGAGGAACATGACTCACCCAACAAGGTCATAATTTTTTTTCTATGATAACTATATTTCCCCATTTTGTTTTGAGCTAAATAACTCTATTGCAAAACTTTTAGACCCAGCTAAGCACATTTCAGTATGAACCATTGAACCAACTCTTCTCCTAGGCCAACACAACCACAGTTTGGAACTACCAAAACAAGCGAATACAAGTAAAACTAATAAGGATCTGAGACCAACGCCATAAAAGACTTCCCCAAATCAATTCACAATGACAGACGCAATTATCATATATAACAATCAATGCAACAATGTTGAATAATTAATCTTCTTCTCTTGAATACATATCATGATATATTGAAGGCTATAGATGCCAAGTTACTTTCAGAAGCACCAACAGAAGAAGCTAATGCCAATAGTAGGCCCTGATAGTGTACATTTAAAACACCTAGACATGAGAAATTAGTTATTAATATGAAATGCTAAGCAAAAAGAGGAAAAAAAGGAAAAAGTATTATACAAATTGGTTGTCGTTGAAAAATGTTGAAAGCCCTATATGTAGAAGCTGTGACTATGACCAAAGTTTATTGAAAACAATTTCAATGAAACCAAGGAAAGGCAAAAAAGTTCAAGGTGCGATCTTTTGGAGCCTGATGCATAAATGTTTTCCGATATAGCATATCCCAACACAATCTATTCGAACTTTTTGAAGATCGGTTGTGTGTTTTGATTATAATAAGTATGACATGCACAATCCCATAAAGCTATTTCCAATAGAGATCATAAAGAGAGTACCCCCTTTCATTATGAACTGTAGACCCAATCAAATCATGTTACAAATACATTGACCCAACTATCAAAGAAGCACACGATCTTCCATTTTCTTTTCTTGATACAACAAATGAAATACAGTCCAACAGAACCACCACTGTAGTATGATATACAGACTGTTGGAAAGAGAGAACTGAAAAACATGAGAGAAAGCTCAAAAATATTTACCAGTCCGGTCATCCTCGATTTCTCCACAAGTTCTTTAACAATCATGTCAAGTATGTGTCTATTCTGGGCTATTCCATTGATGGCAAATTCTTCAGTCTCTTCAATATACTGCCGAGAGATTAGAAATATCAAAAATCATATAACAAGCACGACAATGAAGAACATACGCACCCGAAAAACAAAAGAAAAAAAAAATATATAAAACAATAGCATCCCATATGTATTTAACAATAAAAATTTTATAATATTAATTAATACTGATCAAAATTACATATTTTTGCAAGTACCACCATGCATGGCATCTTCTTGCTTTAGAAGTTGTGATCAAACAAAAATGGAAGAACCGGCAAGAGTTGAGCTATCAGGCAGCCACCAAGAGAGGACAAGCACTTTATTTTGAGATACTCTCGAGGCACTACCTTCTCATGCCCAATACTTCTTTATATCCTCAAGCTCTCAAGACAATATTCACAAAAGAAATAGAAAATTATCCCCAATCCTAATTAAATTCCAATAAAAATGGTGAATTATATAGCATTACTATTGTATTTGTCATACTAATTTTATGTGCCTCGGAAAGTTATTTACATCTCTTGTCAACAAAATCTCTAAAAATAGGTCTTTTAAAATGTGCTATTCCTGAAGTTCCAATCACTACTAGTAATTTCAAAGAAGCCAATGAAAATTCATTAGAGAAATTGATTTGAAGAGGAATAATTCTCTCTTAATTATATTATTCACATATAGAGTATATATATATAGGGAAAACAATTTCTCCTAATTTACAAACTTACCAAATATATCTAAACTACGTTACAAAAGAAAATAATTCTGAAAAAAAAAAAGTAATATATAATAGGAAGGGAATAAACAAATTAAGAATTTCCTTAAGTTATCCCAATCAACTCCTTCACAAGATCTTCTCAGATTTCCACACTCCCCCTCAATTCAAATAGTAGATGTTACAGAGACCAAGTTTGGTATTAAACTTTGAGAAGGTGCTTAAAGGAAAAGCTTTTGTGAATACATCTAACAACTTGTCGGTGTGTCGGGATGTAACTTAGTTGAATAATTCTACTATTAACATTTTCAAAGATGAAGTGTTTATCAACTTCAATATGCTTGGTCCTGTCATGCTACAAAGGATTCTTGGTAATACTGATAACTGCCACAAAACATTTGTATAGACCCATTTGTATGCTTGGTCCTGTCATGCTACAAAGGATTCTTGGTGAATACATCTCCATTTTTTTAACAATTTTTGAATCCAAATCCCTTCACAGATTCCCAGAGCGAGTGCACTAAATTCAGATTTTGTACCGCTTCTAGAAACAACAGTTTCTTCTTACTTCTCCATGCCACCAAATTTCCTATATACAGGAGCAGTAAACATGAGGAACAAAGTGGGACTCATCAAAGTGACTTTATGTTCGTGACCTTTTTAATAAAAACGGCAATAGGCATTATCTTGCATATAAGCTGATGAAAGAAGATTGTTGGGCTTCACGCAAACAGCTTCTTCAGATGCTTGAGTAGATAATAGGCCAGATTGTGATCCTCAAGCTTCTAAATGGTCAAGAAGATGTATCTGAAATTATGTGAGGTCAGTAGCATCCATCATTGCATTATTACAGGGTAAAATCATTTTTAAAAATGATAATGGAAATTTGCCCTGGTTTGATAGCCAATAAGAGCCTCAATTTGCGAACTGGTGTGGCAACAAGTAGACATCTCCATGATGCCTGGCAATCCTGCCCACGTTCAATAAATATAGGTTTGGTATGCCAGCACTACTTTTTTACTCAATCTAGCAACTAAGCTTTGAGTGATTACATTCAATTCAGTTGTAGAAGATGACAAAAAGCTAGACTAAAAGGTATAACTGAGCAAAGCCAACTCATGAATTGACACAGGCTTTGCTCGATATATAGTTCACCTCGAGCTCTATAAGATAATGAGTTAAACCTGAGCTAGACAAGAATAAACTCATAATCTAGTGAACTGGCTCATTTAAAATACCTTAATATAAATTTTACCTAAAGTATAATGAAATTTAAGCATTCAAATAAAAAATTTATTTAAATAAAAATACAATCTTTTCTCATTATCCCAAGTTCTTTCTTATTATTTCTTGTTTAGTTTTTCATTATTTTTATCTTGTACAACAATTGCCTAAATTGAAATCATCTCCCATCTTTCATGCTAAATGAGTTGGCTCTTTATCTCAAACTCATAGAATTGATTTCGAGCTTGAGCTTGAAATCCATTAATTAGTCAAACTTAAGCTCAAGTTAGGGTTAACTCAAGTTGTAATGACTCGTTAAATAAAATAATAATAATAATAAAAAGATCAAACTAACAAAAGTTGATTCACTTGAAATAACATCATCGGTTCACAGATATTAAAAGTGGCAAAGATGAAGACAAAAGCGAGGGGATGAAAGTGAATCAAACAAAGCAAGGAGATAAGAAGAATGCAAACCTCTCGTGCTTGAAGTATAGAGTAGGAGAGCGTGTTAGATCGATCAATGAGGGAAGCCAAGCACGAGCGAGGAAGTAGAAATCACAAGAGAATCGACCACAATGGACTTAATGTAGCTTTCGTGTGAACAGGGATGAAGCATGATAAGCAAGAACACGAAGAGGTAACATGACAGGTTTGGCTCATAAGCAAAAATAAAAATAGTGACAATGCCATCAAGAACATATCACACAAAAGTGTACGAGATAGAGGCAAGCAGGCAACACTCGCTCGTGCATGCAGGGCTCAGACAAAATGTGATGTTGAGTAATGACCAAGCACGAGAGAAACCTTCTAGAGCCAATTCAATTCTCTTCGATCTCGTGATTGTGTGGTCACATTAGGGAGGATCAAACAGGGAGATTTAATACATGGGATTGAAAATCAAACTGTGTTCGATTGGTGTGGAAGAGCATGGAATGACAACAAGTGAGTATTTACTGAATTTTTTATAAAATAGATTTAGATATATTTAAGATAAATACAATGTTTAAAGACGGATTATTTTTAATATTTTTAGTAGGGAGAAGAAAGAGATTGACATTTACTCGAGCGTTGAAAAAAAATTAAAGATGAGAGTTAAAGTAATGTATTAATTTAATGATTTAACAATAGTATTTATTTGATATTTGTTATTCTTAAATGTAAAATAAAGTAAAGCTAACACCACTTAGAGCTGTTAAAACGGCTCATTGTTCGTGAATAGCTCGTGTTCAGGCAAATGAGCCGAACACGAACAAATTTTTTGCACTTGATATATAAACAAGCCGAACACAAACAAAGTTTTGTTCGTTTGTGTTCTGCTTGTTTTGGCTCGAAAAAATTATATATATATAATCAGTATTATTTTTAAATAGTTTAATTGACCAAAATGCTACAAATATTTATAATCAAATAAAATTGCTAATTAAAAATAGAATAAAAATATATTAAATTCTATTTAAATGAATATTTTATTATAAAAAACAAGATTTAAATCTCGCCCTACCTTTAGCATCCTACAGTTGTGTGATTATGGGTTATCAAAATAGTTCATTGTTAGTGAATAGCTCGTGTTTGGCTCGATAAATAAGCGAGCCAAACACAAACAAATTTTTTTAGCTCGATATATAAAGGAGCCGAACACAAATAATAATAATTTTTGATAAATTGTGTATGAACTCGCTCAAGCTCGGCTCGATTACAACCCTAACAGTCGAATGCATGACTAGGGTAGTCAAAATGGTTTTTTGTTCGCGAACAGCTCGTGTTCGGCTCGCTAAACAAACGAGTCGAACATGAACAAAACACGAAAAGAGGTATTTTTCAAAGAGCCGAACAAGAGCGAGGTACTTTTCAACGAGTCGAACACGAGCTGAGACTAGGCTAGCTCGTGTTCGGCTCGTTTACACCCAAATATCTCATTCATGAATGTTAGATATTACTGAAAATAAGAAAACACAAACTTTAGACAATGTATTTAAATTTATTAAATTTATTAATAAAGGATGATAGACATGTAATTAGTTTGTAAATTTTAACCTTAAAAATTAAATATATAAATAAATTAGAAATTTAAATTAAAAGTTGAACTATTAAAATTCTTAGAAAAAATTCAAAATTATTGAATGTAATAAGATACAATTTTAGACGATGCCCCTGTGATTGAAGTAAATGATATAACGAAGATGAGATATTGTATTATAAGATATATTATTCTCATCTTTCCTGAAAGATCGTCATTAATGATATATTGTAAATTATTTTTATATTGATTGACTATATTTGACTAGCATGCATATTATTTAGAAAAAAGATGGTGCACTTGTCAACTGCTTTATCAAGTGATTGATGTAAATGATATAAATAAAAAAAGATAAAATATTGTACTTTACGTTCTTAAATGGTCACAACTAAATAATAAATTGACAATTATTTAATATTGATTCACCATTGCTAACATGTATTGTTTCTTTTCCATTAAATTATTGTAGTTTAAAAATATAAATATTCATTGACTTGTTGAAGACTCATCATATTTCTAACTGACATTTCAATTTTAAATTTTGAGATAAAAAATGAGCAATAAAAGAGAATTTTTATAAAAAATGCAACCAAGCTAGTGAAGATAATTTTATCCACGAATGTTTACTTTTAAGTTGAATTAAATTTTAATTTGTTAATGGCTCTTTTGATTTATTTGAATGATTGATTGTTAATGATAGAAATTGCAATTAGCTTAATTTCACTGTACGACTGTTTGTTTTCCCTTAGTAATTTCAAGCCTCCGAGCCGAGTTGTGACACGAATTCGACAAAACTCAACTCATTTAACCTCTAAACAAGACAATGATGACTTCTTTAAAGTAGATGTTCTCTCTGTCTCATATGAATGATAACTTTTTGAAGTCTACTGTCACTAGATATTAGCTCTCGATAAATGTGACCCTATCAGAAAGCAAAAGAAGAATATAAGGCACATTACATTCGTCTGGAAGGAAAGCTCTACTTGTTTGCCAGCAACTTCCAATTTGGGCTTTATTTTCCCTTAGGTTGGAGTTGGTGAATCTCCTTGTTGTGAATTTATCTAAGACACATAACATCGAATTACAACAATATCTTATAGGATGTTGTCTTCCTATGTTGAAAACACAAAGTCATGTGGTCGGTGACCAAATTCTTGTCTCTTCAAGTTATGGTAGAGAGATAACGAATTCCTTTGCCTCACCACCTAGCATCTAACTCTAATAAGGATGAAATGCCTCACCCTATTCATCAAAGATTGAAAGTCATACTTCATCTCCATAAAGAGTTCAAAGACATGCTGATAGAGCCAAGCAGCTCGGCGATATCAAATGTGAAGATCATCATCTTTGAGATCAATGTGAAAGCAGTGATCATTCGTTCGGGAGACGAGGTTTGTCTAACTTTTGAAGAACACAAGACAACTTGAGTTGGCTATCAAATCCGAAGAGCAGTTGGTAAAAGAGGCCAGCAATAAGAGGTTGGCAACAACCATGATGGTGACTTTAAAAGAAAGGTTAAACCTAGCAGCATCGACGTCGGGGAAAGGAAGGCAAGTGGAAGCAAATTAAGGGACCGCTCTAGACATTGTCCCCCTAACAATTATCAATCTGATGCGTGAGGTAGAAAAATAGAAGATAACATTTGCCTTGATGAAGGGAGCAGCAACAATGACAATAATTGTGATAGTGACTCACGTTTTGATGGTGACTTTGAGGAGTCTCGGAGAGAGGACTACTAAAATATTGAGGATAAAATGCACACAAATCTTTGCATAGTGAAAGAAATAAAATCATTGCCAAAAGCAATTTGGTTTTATTGGCCAATGTTTCTTATACTAAATTTACTTCATGTTACATGTACTTCTAAGTATTTAAGCATGTTTATCACTGCGCCTGTTGTTAGTCACACCATCCACTAACTAGCATGCATGTTGTTTAGTTCATATCTATAGAATCATATTTTAGTACTTATTACAATATTATCTCACTGAGGTTGTACCTTACACTATATTATATTATTAATTTTCAAGAAGAGGTAAGGAGGAAGTGGGCAATTGTCAGGTGAATAGACTTTTGTACGGCTTTTGAATTATAATAATTTTTGAATGAATTTGAAGAGTGTTAGGGTACTTATGTTTTATATTTAAGTATTTAACAGTTTTTGTATATGATTTGAAAATTATTTATACATATTTCCTCATGTATTTTGATATGAAACAATATTGGATGAATTGAAGTGCCAGTTTCTACTTGTGATGTTTAGTGAGATCAATCCTCCATTAAGTAGTCCAGATTTATGAAAGTCGGGATGATATTGGTAACAACTGAATCTGACTGAGCCGTCGTCCTCTGCTATACCTTTGTTTGACCCAAGGAGGTTCAAAGAGGATGTGACACTCAAGGCAATAAGCATCTCGAATCAAAAGCTTGCTTCCTTACTCTTGGCACCATGCAGCATAATCTTGAAGGTTTTCACCGTTCATATTAGAAGCAAGTTTTATCGGAAACATGTCAAATAAAGTAGTTTACATAAATTTAAACATTCGAGTCTTTAATTAACCATAACAATAAGAATCAATTTTAATGATTTCAAGAATTAGTGTTCGCACATATAAGAGCAACAAAATTCATGATGTTACCTAATTCATGCTTGTAAAGAGAAAACACTATAAAATTTGTCACACGAACCTGAAAAATTTAGCCATGCATGCCTAATAAAAAGATGAAAAACTCGAGGCTACTATCACTTAGGAGAAAACAAGTTTTATAGATATGTTTAACAGTTAACAGAGAATAAAAAAACATATGGGGTGAAATGTACTCTACGGGCGCTACTAGATTATATATGAAAATGCTTTAGCAAAATAAAACACTTTCACATAAAAAATTAAGCAAATGAAGAAAAGAGACTACCCTGGTGAGTTCTCGAGTCTATGAAACTTCAACAGTCATGCCAGCAGGAACAACACTAGGATCATCCCACTGAAACAAGCGTTAAAATAAGAAAGGAATCAAGCCTTGTGTTAAGAAAAAATTGCAGAGTTTTAGAAACAAAAAAAACAAAGAATACAAAAAAAATACCTTATATTTGAGAAGCTCACCATCCGAACTATCCGGTCGATCCATCATTCCAACTCTTCGTACTAAGGTGGTAAGGCCTAATCTTGAATTTCTAGGACTAATGACCATCTCCCTCGCAATCTTTAATCAAGAAACACAAGGGCAATAAGCAGGCAACAAAACATTAAAATAGAACCAACATCATAAAAAAAATTCTCAAGAAATCACTCCTTTCCGTCATTTATTAGTATACAGGATTGCATATATCCCATAGGAAAATTCAAGCAAAAGTGATCAACTTCGTCCATGCTGGCATATGTAAGACAATTTAGTGGAAGGTTATTGTCCACTGCAAGAATTCATGTCCATTAAATACGTATCTTTAGGTTAAGAGCATATCATATCATTGCAAACTGTTAACAAGTAATTTAAAATTTTAAATGTAACCATCCCTTTGGTCTTATTGCAAATATTTGCAAAACAATGCTAAAACTATGATAGTGGATTTGAAGGTAAGAATAGAGAAGGATCCCAAAAAGCCAAAACCTTTAAACTAAGACAATATTATGAAATAGCTAAATCCCAATATATAAAATAAAGTAAATTCCAATGATAATGAAAATTTTGTTATGGTCATTCTTTTATTGTTTTCTGCTATTTTGAAAAAATTGATAAATATATACATGAGATTATAAAACGTATATCTAATGTCTATTATAAGCAAATGTGAGTCAAAAAATTTATGCACCACTCTTGAAACGAGAATAAAAACAGCTACTTTCTATGAATATTCAACCAGTCTGAACCACTTCAACAAATTGCATTTATTTCTTCGAAGCAAATATTTAATTCCTTGATCATCATGATTATGTGGAGCTCTGAGTAGAATTAGAGGTTAAGATTTGGCAGTGGCATCTTTCTTTTTATGTATTGAAAAGCTGAGGGAACCCTTTCTCATTAATTAAAAATAAAAACAAAGATACAAAAGCAAATAGAGAATAAAAGCTAATAAAAGAAAACATTACAAAAGAAAATGTTAAAGCAGTAGCTTTATAATTTTCAAGATACTTGTCTGGAAAGTTTAAAGGCCTAATTTGATATGCTTTATTTTCATGGCTAGAAATCATAAAAAAATACGGAAGAGATGAAGTAGTGTACAAGTTAATTTGCATCATTCTTAACAGTATTTGGAAAGTATTTGACATTCCTTTCATCCCAAATGCTCCAAAATAGGGCTGTCAAAACAGCTCGTTGTTCGCGAACAGCTCATGTTCGGCTCGTTAAGCAGCTCGTGTTTGGCTCGTTTGTTAAGTTTATCGAGTTTAAGCTCGAAATATAAACGAGCCGAACACGAGAAAATATCTGTTTGCTAGTGTTTGGCTCGAATTGGCTCAAAAAGAAACAAATAAAAATATAAATATACTCAATATCTCATGATGTTAATGGAATTATTCCGCGGTGTAAAACCGCGGAATAACACCCATAACACCGAGGAATAACAACCGTTGTGTTATCAGTCTTATTCCTCCGTCTGCGGTGTTATTGGTGTTATTCTGCTGCATAACATAGCAGAATAACACCGATAACACCAATAATACCGCGAAATAACACCGAGTAACACCCGCTGTGCTATCGGTATTATTCCGCCATCTCTGGTTTTATTGGTGTTAATCCGCGGTATTTTTGGTATTATCAGCGTTATTCCACTGTGCTACACTGCGAAATAACACCAATAACACCGCAAAATATTGAGTATAAAATATTATGTATATTATATAAAATAAAAAATTTATAGTTATGTTCGTAAACTATTGATATAATTTTTTCTAGTTAGAAAATTGATAACAATTGTTCATAACAGTGAAAGAAGCATATTAAACAATACACTTATACAACTTTATAAAACTTTCTTTATAAGAGTTTTAGCTCTACTATGTTCATTTAAAGCTCAAGATACAAAACATAAAATAAGTAAATTAGAGCTATAAGCAAATTGGTGCACTCAATAAATGTAAGAAGATAAATGTATATTTAATGATGATAATTTACTGTTTAATAAGTGAATGATTAAAATCTTGATAAAATGTACATTTAAAGATAATTTAATTACTTAATAACTAGATAAAAAAAATTATAAATACTTCAATAATAATTTGTATGTCACCAAATGACATAAATAATACTAATAAGCATATACATTTAAATCAAAGACATTAATAATTTATTGAATTACAACATGAATTTGATAAGAAAACTAGTAAAAAGGTCTAAACAATATATTGAAGGGGATGGACAAATGTAGCACACAAATCTTATGTATTTGCATACCTCACACCTAATAACACCAATAACATTGCGGAAAAACACCGATAACACCAATAACACCGCGGAATAACTCCAATAGTACGAGAATAATATTGCAGAATAACACCGATTTCGCAGCATTTTATATTCTACTGAGCTTATTTCAAGTCGAACACAAACATTAAATAGTTATTTGAGTCGAACACGAACACATTGTTCACGAGCCGAACATAAGTCGAAACTCGGCTTGTTTAAAGCCCTACTCCAAAGAGCCAAGAAAAAGTACAGTTGAGGGGTAGAGAAGTAACAGAACCACCGAGAGAGAGAGAGAGAGAGAGAGAGCCGTTTGGCGTGGTTGAATTCGCCCGGAGAGGCGCGATGACGCATAAAAATGCGTTTGCAAAAGGCGTCACAACAACGTTTTTAAAAAGTTTCGTTAAAACGCAGTGGCAGGTTCGAACCTGCGGCCCGCGTTTCTCCACTCTCGACCCGGGGTTGAATTACCCCGCGACCCCTCTTATGTTTCATCTGCTTCTCTCGACACCGCTCCCTCTCTCGCTATTCATTTGCCCTAGGTCTCTTCCTTCTATGGATCCGTGGCTCTGGTAGCTATTTTCGATTGCAAGTGGGTGTTTAGGTTGGCTATTTTCAGTTGCGAGTGCTTGTTCTAGTGATCGTTACATTCTTCTCCCTCTCCTCTCTTTTCTTTTACTCGATTTTTTGTGGTTTGTGCATTTTGTGCTCTGTATGGTGGATCATTTCCATCAGTTTAGTGGATCACTTTCTTCGGTTGGTAATTATTACAGTAACGTTTGTATTCTCTCTTCCCCTCTTCCTTCTCTTCTTCAGCTTGGATTGGTGGTTGTGCATATTTTAGCACTTCTTCTTTGTTCTTCACCTCCTGTAATTTTTCTCTTCTCTGTGTGGTTGTGCGCATTATGCTGGCTGATTTCCTCTTTTTAGTTTTCATTGTTTGCTTGGTTTGGTGATTTTTGATTTGATATGCTTGGATGGTGGTTTTGATGCTTCGTGATGCATCCATGATGGTTTTGTTTTATGATTTTGACGCACTGTGACTTGCGATTTGGCAATGTGGCTTGGATTGGTGCTTTCCGGTGATCTTTGGATTTTTGGTGTTTTTGTTGTTTGCAATGCTTCGAGTGCCCTGTATGTAGTCTGTTCGATTTTTTTTAGTTTTATTGCAACAAACCTTGCTCGGTTCCAGTGGGAAATTTGAATCTTGGATGAAATTTGGTCGTGGATTTGTTAATAGCAATATTTCGGGTATTGGTATTGTGTATGTGTTGAATATGAGCTGCAAATATGAATTTTGAATTTCAGTGGAAATTTCATGCTGGATTTGTATATTGTTATTTTAGTGAGAATTGGTGCTAGACTTTCATATTGCTATTTTTAATTTCAGTGGAGAATTTGAAAATTGGATGAAATTTGGTGTTGTGCATGTGTTGAATATGGGTTGGAAACATGAATTTAGCTATTTCGGTGGGAATTTGAAAAAGATATGGAAGTTATTGTTGGATTTATTAATAACAATATTTCAGGTAATCTGTATGTGTTGAATTTGGGTTGGGATTTTAACATGAATTTGGATATTTCAGTGAGAATTTGTAAAATGGATAAAAAGTACTACTGAATTTGTTACTAGTAATGTTTTCGGTGTTGTGTTGAGGTGTAGTTCGGTTTGTGTGGAGGTGATGCTGGTGGCGTGGAGTCCGTGTGTTGTCTGGTGGAGATTTTGGTATTTATGTGGAGGTTTTGGTGTCTGGTGGAGGTGTTGGTGCCTATGTTAGTATTTGTGTGGTGTATGTTTGGTGTCTGGTAGTGTGGTGATTGTGTTGTTGTGAGGAGGTGGTGTAGTGGATGAGTTGGTGTCTATGTGTTACTGTGAAGAGGTGGTGGTGTGGTGGATGAGTTGGTGTCATGATGTGCCAGTGTATTTGGTGTTTGGTGGAGGTGTTCGTGGTGTAGTGAATGAGTTGGTGGCATGATAGTGTGGTGTATGTGTTAATGTGTTGGTATCAAGATGATGTTGGGTGTTTGGTGTCTAGTGGATGTGTTGGGTGTTTGGTGTCTAGTGGATGTGTTGGCGGTGTAGCGAATGAGTTGGTATCAAGATGATGTGGTGTTTTTGTGTTACAATGAGGAGGAGGTGGTGTAGTGAATGAGTTTTGGTCTGTGTGTTACATTGATGAGGTGGTGGTGTGGTGGATGAGTTGGTGTCTTGATGTGCCAATGTGTTTAATGTCTAAGGAGGTGGTGGTGTGTGCGTGGTTTTGTTTGTGTAGAGGTGGTGTGATGGTGTGGAAGTGTAAGGTTATATTTGGGTGGAGATGGTGCTGATAGTGTGGAGTTTGGTGGAGATTTTGGTGTCTGTGTGGAGATTTTGGTGTCTGTTGGATGTGAGGTGTATGTGTGGTGTCCGTGTGGTATTTTTGTGGTGTTTGTGTGTGACTGTGAAAAGGTGGTAGTTTTTGTGTGAAGGTGCAGGCGTGCGGAGGTGGTGCTAGTGGTGTGGTGGATGGGTTAGTGTCCTGATGTGCCTGTGTGTGGAGGTGTTGGTGAGAAGGACATGGTGATAATATTGCGGCATTACAATTTTTCTTTGATTTGCAATATTGTGGCATTCTTATTTATGTTAATTAGTTTTTTTTCATGCTAGTAATACAATTGTTAAGACCAAAGACGCTGATACATTTGCAATATGGTACAACAAAACAAAAATAACATTTTGCGACCTTTGCTTCAAGGAGGTCGATCGAGGAAATATGCATATAACCTATTTCAAAAAGAGTGACAAAATATTATCAGAAAATCCA